CCCCCGTCGATCATTATTTCACTAATACAGTATATGATATATTAAATGTCTCTTGTAGAGAGACCACTCCTAATGCTGGAGCTCTGAAACATAACCATCCCAGTCCGCCGAACAGCTAAAGAATCTTGCTGTGTGCATATGGTACCTAAGAAGCGTTGCCACGATTTTTGTATTGTGGGCACATCTTGGTTATGAACATGAATTTTTTTAATAAATTTTAGGCAAAAAGAATTCATGACGTTAATGTGGATTATGTGACAGATGCGGAAGAGTTCATGACAGTGTAATGAATTAATATATGCTATCATCATATGTTATATATCAATATTATAGGGTAAACAAATACGGAGAGGAAATCCTCATTTGACAAAAGAATTATAGAAAGGATTATTGGTGTCTGCCAATGACAATAAACTTTGTCTAAAATGATCCAAGCAGATTAACACTTGGGGTTAGTAACTTATAAATTCAAATAAATTTAAATTAGTAATAAGAACCATGTCCAAAAAGAGTGGTGCTTACTCTGAAAAAAATAACTTGTAATCCATTGGCCAATGACATTATAATATTATATTGGGAAGGGGTAACATTTTGTAGACACTTCACAAACACCTGTTTGACACTTTTATTTCTTTTTTTTCTCATGACGTTATAATATTCATCTTTACACTATCTGAAAGAACCCTTGCAGCCACTGATACGGCCAACTGCTCTATCACTGTTATCCCCAACAGCATTAGAATTTAGAACTAGTAAAGGTTTGGATCAAATTTTCTGGAACAGTTTATGGACTTTTGGCCCTAGGGGATTTGTAACCTTGTTTGATTAAACAAGGTACTATAAGCCTTTGTTTGGATTGTTGTGGAGGTAATAAAAAAGAAAGAAATGAAAGGAATTAGAGTGGAAACGGAAATTGTTATTGAGGGAGAGAGAGCAAGTGTGAAAATTTTGTGTGAAATAAAGAGAGTGTTTGTGTAATATATACAATTACAAAATACTATTATAAAATTAATATTATAAAATTTATATAAAATTAATATCGATTGAATTTTAATATGAAGTAATTAATTTATGAAATGGAAATAATATTATAAAATTATTAAATTTTTTAAATTGAATATTTATAAATAACTAATTGCAAATGATGGTCAATCTTTTCTCACATACAAATTTAATAGGAAAAAAGTGTAATACGAAATTTATTAAATAAAAAAAATGAGACTTTCATGTTAAATTTAAACATATGAAAAAAATAATAATATTATGACAATGGATTTAATATACCAACAACTAATTTAATAAGACATGAAATTTTTTTATGTTCATTACAATGATCGCAGGGAAAAAAGTACATCAAATTTTTAAGCTCTTGAACCTTATCTTCAATTCCATTAATGCTTTGATAGATATGTTTTACACCATGATGAAGATTTAAGGCTCCATTAATGCTTGATAGATATGTTTTACATCATGATGAATATTTAAGGGTAAGGTGTTTAAACCTAGTGGGCCTACCTTTTCCATGCCCTAGATATCAATCTATATTTGGTTTAACATATTAGCATCTTGATAAAAATGAGATTGTTGTTATTGAATACTCATTTTCGCTTTCAGAATTATCTTTATTAGGGTTATGTTGTTCGCCATGGATACCCCTGCCAAACATAGTTTACGTTGATTACATCTAATTTTTTGAGATATCTCTCATTTAAGAGATATAACTACCGTAGGGTAGTTCCACTCTCTAAACACACATTAAGTTTAGTATGCAAGAGAATATTGAGTTATTAGAAGATCATAAAGTAGGGATATATGTTATTGTACTTGTATTTTAGCATATGTTAAATGATATGGTATGGTCAATTAATGAGAATATTATGTTTCATGGTCCATATCATGAAGACATCATCTTGCACGAGGTGGGATTATTGGCTTTCCTACAAGGATGTTCATGAGGTCCCAATGTCATATTTTTAACTGACATCCCTGTCATAGTTAAGGTCTCCAGGGATGTCTGTCAGATCAAACTTTTGTCCATCATATTTCCAGTTGGCCACATTGATCCAATACTTAACTTTGATTATAATATTTTTCTACAAACACCTTAGTCACAAAATCTTTTTTGTCTAGGAGGTTAAGATTTGTGTATAACACTCTTACAAGTTCGTGACTGAAAAAAAGCTAGGTACATAGAAAATGCAAATCTTAAACTCTTTGGCACAAAAGATTTTGTGACTGGGGTGTTGCAGTAGAAAACTATAATTAAACATGATAATTGGGTTAATGAGACCAACTCGAAATATGAGAGGTAGGGGTTTGATCTTACCGACATCCTTGAATAGTTAACTATGTGAAGGATGTCGCTTTGGCTGAAATGATCAAATCTGGCCCTCACATACAATTTGCAGGAATTTTGGTAGCTTGAGTGTCGAAAATAGATTATTGCATTGCATTTACAATCATATTCTAATTTCTCGGGATAGTAACGATGCAAAGGTCCTACAATATGATTTCATAAGGATGAGTCATGCTACATAATATTCCATTTACTGGTCACACCATCTCATTCAACATATGTGAAAATGCAAGAGCAGCGACATGCTCTTGTCGATCTAATAACTCGTATTCTTTTGCATACCGATTTTGATATGCGTTTAGAGAGTGGTCAAAATTCCTAAATAAGACAACTTTGGTCAATATAAATTGTACGTGACCCTCATGAAGAAAATCCTGGGAGCGTAGATGAAGATGTGGGGGGTTCAAGGACAACAACTTCATCTTTTATGAATGGTAATATTAAACCAAATATGAGGTGGTAATCATAGACTGCAACAAGGTGTGAAACGTGTTTATTAAAGGAATTGATGGAATTGAAGATAAAATTCAAAAACTCAGATAATATTGAGTAATTTTGTGTTTTATTTAAGTGTTATTATTTTTTAGTGTAATGTATTATTTTATTTAGATTATTGTAATGAACATAACTAACTTTTTATGCCTTATTAAAATTTGATATATTACATTCTTGACGTAGTACTATTTTTTATATGATTAAAATTAATATGCAAATCTCATTAGATATTTTAGAATTTATTGTATTACATGTTTACCCGTGAGAAAAAAAAAACCATCATTTAAAGTTAACTATTTATATAATTTCAAAAATTAAATAATTTTTAATATTATTTTTATTTTATAAATTAATTGCTTTATAAGTATTTATCTTTTAATTTAAATTTATATGCAATATTATAATTGTACATATTGAAGAGTTAACTTTTTTTAATGTAACAACAATGAAATATATTACAATTTTTCATTCATTTTTATTTCCATTTTCAATCCAAACAGTTTTATTTTTTATTTTTTATTTTATTTTCTTTTCTATCCCATTTGAATCCAATCTATGCAGTCTCTTAACAAAACCTGATGGTTTGTAGAGAGCAAAGTTTTGCCTCTCCATGTCTTTGTTTGGTTCAAAATTTGAGTAGCTCCTTAAAATTCTTCATGGTATAGAATTAATTGTTTATATTATTTGAAAAATGAAGTTCTTTTCTACCAGTTAGCGAAATGGTTGTTATCATTTTCATTACCGGTTATTTGTAAGTTTAAGTAATTCTGGATTATTTCTTTTTGTGCAATCCGAATAGTTGTAAACCATTATTCAAGCTTCACCTTTCGTAAATATTGTGTGAAAAGGGTTCAACTTCATTAAATTTAATAGTTTATTACGCTACCTTATTCTGCCTTATTTAGTTACTTTCTATCGTTTTTACTTGGCTATATTAGTGTTAACATTTTTTTTTATGTTTAATGGAAGAGAATTATAAGATTTATTTTAATTATTTATTTATTTGTTGACAAAAATATATGTTTAACAAATTTTTTGTTTTTTATTTTTATGATCCAATCCAAAGCTTTGAAATTTTCATAACCTCTGACTCTAACACTAGAGATGCAGTTAAATTGAATAACTTTTTTCCTCCTTAAAATAAACATAGGATGACAAATGCATTGGCAGCTGAATTGACCACTTTAAATCCATTTATTAGTTTATGTTACTTAACTATTTTAGTTTAACTATGTAATCAATATTATTGTGTATTGATTGTTTCCTTTATATTTTTATTACATATTTTTGAAAGAAAAATTAGCAATTACAATATAAATTCTTTTTTTTCAATTTATACATAATGGAATGAAGAAAGGCATGATACTAAAGGAGAAGATAATGTTGTCTGGATTCAAAGTAATATTTTGTAACTCTTCCTCTGTCTAACGTTTTTACAATGGCATGGAATCATTTCCGAAGAAACAAAAAAATTAGTGATCATTTGAGATTATTTTTGGAAAATGCTAACATATTTTTCTAAAAAAAGTATTTCTATTGGTAAAAATGTATTGAAAATAATAAATCAAATAGGTCTCCCTTTTAATATGACGAATCTCAAATTTCATTATCTATTTTTTTTAATACATTTTAACTAATAATAAAGATCATGTTTTGGATTTTTCACTCTTACGAGATTTTGTAATGATAGCAAACAAATTATAAACGTGATACTAAATAAAAATATACATGGTTGATGTAGTTGAATTTGGTAAAAATTAAAATTGCTACAAAAGTGTTAATTTGAAAACTTGTACTACAATTTATTTTCGTCAATTAGTCGAGAATGTAAAGAAAATTATTGCCTAAAAAAATCATAAAAGGAATTAAGAAATTTTAAATTATAAAACACGTACGTCATACCTTGTAATCAAAATGTATGTTAAATATGATTGATGTGTCACTTTGTATGAGATAAAAAATAAGAATTAAATTAGTTTCTAAATAACCAAAAGTGATGTGAAATTCTTTGAGTTTATAGTAAAATATTAATACAAAAAAAATCTTTTGCAATATTGTCCACTTTGAAATTATTTTCTAAATTTGCGATTGGATTAGAATCAGGAAAGTTGTATTGTAATTAATTATGTAGGAAAGTGGAAAAGAATAAAGAATGAAATTAAGAAAAAGAAAAGCCAATGGCAAAAGGATGTGAACTGACATAGATGATTTTGTCGGATAAGGAATGGATGAAATTTGTCGTATAACTCTAAATAGCAGATTTGGTAGAAACCTGAGAAGCGTGTGTTGAAGAATCAGAATTGAGAATCCATGGGAAGTGGTGTTTTGAAGTACGGAATCATAGGAGTTGGAATGATGGGTAGAGAGCATCTTGTGAATTTGTACCATCTTCGCACTGAAGGCGTGGCGGTTGTCGCTTTTGCTGACCCTCATGTTCCCTCCCAACAACTCGCTCTTCAATTGGCACACTCCTTCAGTTGGCCTCTCAAGGTATTATGAGTATCACTCTGCTTTTTATTTTCTGTTTAATATAACAATTTTTTCTGGATATATCGTTGTTTCATTATTGTGACTTGGATCTAGAAATGCTATTATTGATCTGCAATTATCTTGGCAGTAGTTGTACTATGCTGATAGTTTAATTAAGAATAATAAACCAACAATTTGGGATTCCAAGGATTATCCTTTCTACTAAGTAGTCCCAGAATTGATAAAGCTATATAGGTAATCCCGCGAGTAATTTGAAGGGTTTTTCGATACTTGAAAAGTTCGGAGGATTAGGGATTACCTATATTGCTATTTTTAGTTTTTTAAGTATCATATAGGAGTGAAGGTAATAGTACTTCAAGGATGGAATTGGAGATTTTTTTTTCATTAAATTAAGTTGGCCACTCTGTATAGTCTGTTGAGTTGAATTGAATGATTGAATGAATGAATGACCATGAGTTCAAGAGTTGTGAAGGTTTTTTCAGGTCACCAGGAGCTGTTGGACAGTGGACTTTGTGATGTTCTGGTGGTATCCACTCCTAACATGACCCATCATAGGATTCTTATGGACATAATCAATCATTCCAAACCCCATCACGTACTGGTAGAAAAGCCCTTGTGCACCACAATCTCTCACTGCAAAGAGGTTTCTCTTTCCTTTCATACAATCGGTTGCTTATTAGGGCTTAACTGTTAGAATGTAATTTTATTGCCGACCAATGACTGATCTTGATAGAAAAAGTTTTGTCTCTTTGATTGTGCTGTTTTCCATCGGGATGGGGACGTCAACTATGCTTGTGTCATTTCCTTTACTGTTATCATATGACAAAGAATTTTTTTATATTAAACTAGACTAAACGTGTCCTAAAGAATAGAAAAAACTATTATTCGAAGTCTTGATCTTGTAGTTGGGTATTGCTTTATGCCATTTTTATCCTCTAATAAGTATTTGATGAACTAATAACTAATTTGATGTTCTTGTGTCTACGTTGGATTAGGTTGTCGATGCTGCTAGAAAGAGACCAGATATTTTGGTACAAGTTGGATTGGAATATAGATACATGCCACCTGTTGCAAAGCTGATAGAAATAGTTCAGGGAGGAAACCTCGGACGAATCAGAATGGTATCAATTCGGGAGCACCGGTTTCCATTTTTGGTTAAGGTTAGAAGTTATACAATTTGAAATTACATGTTTTTGGGTTCTCATACTGAGCTAGCTGAAAAGTGATACTGATCATAGGTGAACAATTGGAATCGGTTCAATATTAACTCAGGTGGTACCCTAGTAGAGAAGTGTTGCCACTTCTTTGATCTGATGAGGCTGTTTGTTGGTGCAAATCCTGTTCGTGTGATGGCTTCTGGAGCTATTGATGTTAATCACAAGGATGAAATATACGATGGAAAGGTAGATAAAATGCCGAATTTAAGTTGCAATAACCAAGCTTGAAGCACTAATCTTTGTGTTGGTCTGTATGCTGCCTTAATTAATACTGATTATAATCTGCATATGGTGTTCCTTAATCCAAGAAAGGAAACATGCACGTATTTTGGTTTCGTGTGTCCAATAAAGTTTAAACGGCTACTTGTTTCCGGGGCTAGGAAGAATTTTAGAATTTCATGTGATTGTTTGCAATATTAGGTAAGAGATAGTCGAGACTCACTGGTGTTTGTCCTTGTCTGATGAAGAAATAAAGATTATGACTTTTTCATATCTGAAAATTATGGTCTATTCTGTTTTTCAATGTTCAAAATTAAGGACTTTGAGTTCGTATTCTGCCAGTTATAAGTGGAATAAATCATATATGTTCTTCTGTGTAGCAGCCTTAATTGGCGCAAAATTTTTCTCTAAGCTTTGGTATTGTTATTGCTATTCACTGGTTACTTCGGCAGGTGCCCGATATCATTGACAATGCGTATGTTATTGTTGAATTTGACAATGGTTCTCGAGGAATGCTTGACCTTTGTATGTTTGCCGAAGGAAGTAAAAATGAGCAAGAAATATCTGTTGTAGGTGATATTGGAAAGGTAAAACCATGATAAAACTTTGTTTTAAAACTTTGTTGCATGAGTTTCTTTCCTGAGTATATGTTGTCAAGATGTTAGCATCTCAACTTAACAAATCATTCGGCACACAGGGAGAAGCCTTTGTTCCTGAGAGTGTTGTGCGGTTTGGTACACGAGAGGGGGGGAGAAATGGTGTCCAGACTTTGAAAGCTGAGGATCATCGAATAAAGTAGGTAGCTTCTCTCTGTTAAATGTCATCAATTAGCTAAGCTTTGAGATGGTGAAATGAAATGAAAGTGGCTCTTGTTTTATGAAATCCTTGTGGACTCTACAGGTATGATGGGTTACACCATGGATCTAGCTATCTGGAACACCTTAACTTCTTTTCTGCAATCAGAGCCAAAGGAGAAAAGGCTCCAAGTGTAGATCTCCAAGATGGATTAGTATCTGTTGCTATTGGAGTTGCAGCACAGCTCTCTATAGAATATGGTCGATTTGTTACTATTGAGGAAGTTATGAATGAACTCAGAATTTAAGTTGGAACACTTGGAAGTGAAGTAATGGCGTCTCTGCTGTTGTGTTCTGATATAGGGATGATGTATCTGTTATCACTATCTCATGAAAAAGTGCTAAGTGGTTTGTGGAAGTTATATTGCTTCCATCTTAGCCAATTGGTGTCTTCAACTTTTTTTCTTTCTACAGCTCATTTTCTGTGAAGTGAAACAGTAGAATGTAATGAGTGAAAGCTCAAAGTTTTAGCCAAATAAACATGCTGGAATCTTTCCATAGGAAGGAGATGTGATGCACTACATTACATGTTTAAACCGACACTCTGATGTATTAACTAAACAAGTGCATTTTCTGTCGGTATGAAGAAAAGAGCAATTAAATCTTATTCGGTAATGATCATTTCATTGTCCATGTAGTAAAGAAAATCCAATTTGATGTTCTCTCTTAAATGTGTGCAAACTGTGAAGAGGTATTTGTAAAAAGACATTGGGGATCCACATCGGGTTTCTTCCAAAAAATCATATCCAACACTTGCAAAACTCACACTGTTAGTAATCAAGTGCAGCTCCTTGACGGTAGTACTAAACATCTTCCAAAATGGAGACCAAAATTGACCACACTTTGTTTTAAATCATACTCCATGAAACACTCCACCTATAATAATATAATAATAAAATAAATCATATTCACTTGAGAGTGTAATATAATATTAAGAATATTGTTAAATTATATATCAATAAATGCGTCAATAATTACTATATTACATACTAAATAACATATACTCCTAATTTTTTTAAAAGCCTCGCCTTTTTTATAGTTGTAATAAAATCACATTAAAGATGTTTATATTATTTATAAATTATTTTCTTAGTTTTATTTATAGAAAAATATTTACTTTAAATTTCATTTTCTTATTTCGTAATTTTTTTTTATATTATTGTAAACATGATATTTTTAAATAAGAAATAAATATCATTTTACAGGAGTACAAAAAAGACATATAATTTACAAAAATCATAAAAAGAAAGAGTAAATAATTGAAAAACTAAAGCACAAATATAAATCTAATCTTTTAAGAAAATTAAAATTTATTTCGAATAAAATAAGAAAAATGAATAGAACTCGAAAAACATAAGGTATAATCTTTTAAATTATTTAGAAATATGACTATCTATTGAAAATATAAACATATAAATAATACCGTAATGAAAATTTAGCATACACAGATAAACTCAACACAATCGTTTCATAAAAATCTAAAACATTAAAATCGGAGTAAAGATACAAAGTATATAAACTGAAATTACATGGATTATAGACAATCCTATCAAAATTAAAATTTGTATTAAATATATTCCGAAGCTATATCCTATCAATGACACTATTATTAATAATTAATAACTCAAAAAAGTATGCTTTAAAAAATAGCGCATTTACAGGTTATAACTATTGCAAGAGTACAGGAATCAATAGCAGACAAATACGTTAAAACATAAGATTTTCCAACTCAGAAAAAAAAGCGTTCCACGGTTATGATTTTATTTTTTTTCATCTCGGTCATAGCTCACGGTAAAATTGCCAACACCAAACAAAAACATAAACGAACTCCAAAAGTAATCACAGCACGAGAACTGCAAAGATGTAGGTACCACAAAATCAATAACAAACAATACCAACAAATAGCAAAAATCTGACATCATTAATCTCTCCAGTTTAGCTACTAAAACGGGATTCGGGGTTGAAAAAAGGATGAGGCGTTCAAAACTGATAATTTCCTATAGTCTTATAATGCACTCCAAATTTTCAGAAAATGAAGCAAGATAACAATACAGTAATAAAATCAGCGGTAACGACGAAGAGAAAGGGTGTTGTTTCGCTTCCAGGTTGCCCTGCGTGATGGACGGTTCTTGTGGTATAGATGTCCTCTGCCACGTAAACCCCTGTTACTTTTCCCAGCAGAAGTGAGGCCACGAAGTTCCCTGTGCTTATGGACTGGATTGCAGAGCCAGTTAATTCTTGGATCATTTCTTACAGCACTGTGGGCAACATCCACCAGAATGATCTCAAAATATTTGTAGGTTGAGTCCTGTAACACAGGAACAGCATCACAATAACCAATCAGCAACCTATAAGCAGCTTCCACTTTACACGAATGGAATAATATGTTAACTAACCTCATTCACCCAGTAAGAATTGAGGACCCTGAGGCCACCCAACTTCCTTCCAGCTCGCTCTTCAGCAACGGACCTCTTGCTGCGTTGAAACTTCAATTGAGTAACACCTTGGTTGGTTGGCTTACCGTAAACAATACCTTTGGGAACTGGTCTCTTCCTGCCACCCCTCCTAACACGCACACGGTAAACCACATAACCCTGGAATAACACCATCCAGTTAAAAATGTCGTTTATTTATTGATAAACGATTCCATGTCTTATACAGATTTCCACCTGCTTGGCCTTATAACCCAAGCGGCGAGCCTTGTCTGGGCGAATAGGCCTTGTCAGACGAACAATTGATGGTTGTTGGCGGTATTCCCAACACCTCACCCGCTGCAAGAATCTCATAACATCAGACTGCTTCTTGCGCCAAAGCTCGGAGACATATTTGTAGGCACCTATTGCAACATAAAAGAACACAACTCAACAATTGGAACACGCCAAAAGCGGAAACGCACTTGTCTACCAAATGCTATGAGGACAAGCTAATCAGCATAACCCACAAACATAAGCCTTAAAGAACCAAATAAGAACAGAAAGCAAATCTCCACACAAAAACATGAACCAAACACACATTATTAATCATTCATTCCATCGAGGTCGATGACGGAAAAGTTAAGTCTAAAATTGTCAATTATCACCAATGTATAGCATCATAGAATATAAAATCTAGTCAGTCCAATTAATCAAAATTATATCAACACCAAACCAAACCAAAAATGAAAAGAAACCCAAGCATTCGTAACCCTCAAAAAAAATAGCGCATTCCTATCATATCCGGAAAACTTCCAAGAAGGAATGAGAGAAGGACCATTTTCACTTTCACATACACGACCGTCACAGTGAAAACTATGAACAGAGATTCACATTGAAAACAGCACATCGAACGGACACATTCATCAGGAAACCAATCCGAATGGTGGTAACAAAGGGAGAGAAGAGATAGGAAGAAAAAAATACCCATCGTGCGAAGCGCGCAGTCGCAGTAGCAAAGTGCTAGGGTTTGGGTTCCTCGTATAACTTTTATAGACACCACCTCCTTAAGCCAATGCGACAGATCTCAGCCGTCCGTTAAATATCTATGACCTAAGTGCATTAGAACGGGTCGAGCCCGTAAAATTAAACCACTTAAAAGGGCTTCTATCTCGATCTTTTTCTTTTTATTTTTAACATCACCTTTTTTTTCTGTTTTTAACTTTTTTTTTTCTTTAGAATCTTCTTTTTCCTGTGAATCTTTTTATTCTTCTATAGGAACTCTGCCAAAGGTTAAAAAAAATAGGAAGAAAAAACTTTAAATCTTTATATATTAACTTATTCTTCTATAGGAACTCTGTAAAAGATATTGATTTTTTTATTGTATATTCTTTGAATACTATAGAATTATTAAAATAATCTATTAAATATTTAATAAAAAGAAATTTATTATCTTTTTTAACTGTTAGAATATGTTAAAATATGATTTTTAATTTTAAAATATAAAGTATTCATTTTTAAAATCAAACTATTAATGTTAATAATATTATTTTAAATGTTAAAATATAAATTATTTATGTTAAAAAATTATTTAATAAGTAACCATTAAAGAATATTACAAATCATACTTAGAATTTCCACGGATAAAAATGATAAAAGTGTATAAGTTATACGTAAAAACTCAATAGACAATTTTTTTTTGCTATAGGTTACATTATAAATATTTTTTAAAAAATTAATCAAAAATTACATTCTAGTCTCTTTTTTTAGCAAATAAACTAAATTTTATAGTTAGTTATGTTAGCCTTATACAGAAGAAGAGAGGTTACATTTTAATATTATATTATATAATATTATATCTTTCACATTTATTTTTATTCCCTTTCAGTTAATATTATAAAGCAGTTAATATATATTCTGAAAGTGGTCCATTTATTTTTAAGATAAAAAAAAAACCGTTTTTAAAAAACGTGCCCATGATTCTCCACCACAATCTCTTTTAACGTTATATACTCTGTGATGGTTTTTGGAGTAATACAGACTCTTTCAGAAAATTTCATATCAGGTCACTGAGCCTACTCTTTCCTTCATATATACATCATCATNACAATTGATGGTTGTTGGCGGTATTCCCAACACCTCACCCGCTGCAAGAATCTCATAACATCAGACTGCTTCTTGCGCCAAAGCTCGGAGACATACTTGTAGGCACCTATTGCAACATAAAAGAACACAACTCAACAATTGGAACACGCCAAAAGCGGAAACGCACCTGTCTACCAAATGCTATGAGAACAAGCTAATCCAGCATAACCCACAAACATAAGCCTTAAAGAACCAAATAAGAACAGAAAGCAAATCTCCACACAAAAACATGAACCAAACACACATTATTAATCATTCATTCCATCGAGGTCGATAACGGAAAAGTTAAGTCTAAAATTGTCAATTATCACCAATGTATAGCATCATAGAATATAAAATCTAGTCAGTCCAATTAATCAAAATTATATCAACACCAAACCAAACCAAAAATGAAAAGGAAACACAAGCATTCGTAACCCCAAAAAAAATAGCGCATTCCTATCATATCCGCAAAACTTCCAAGAAGGAATGAGACAAGGGCCATTTTCACTTTCCCATACACGACCGTCACAGTGAAAACTATGAACAGAGATTCACATTGAAAACAGCACATCGAACGGACACATTCATCAGGAAACCAATCCGAATGGTGGTAACAAAGGGAGAAAACAGATAGGAAGAAAAAAATACCCATCGAAGCGCGCAGTAGCAAAGTGCTAGGGTTTGGGTTCCTCGTATAACTTTTATAGACACCACCTCCTTAAGCCAATGAGACAGATCTCAGCCGTCCGTTAAATATCTATGACCTAAGTGCATTAGAACGGGTCGAGCCCGTAAAATTAAACCACTTAAAAGGGCTTCTATCATCCAGTTTTTTCTTTCCTCACCCCCTTTTTCTTTATGAAGATTCATATTTTAATATATATTCTGAAAAATATTATTATTCTAATATATTAAATAATCACTGAATTGTGTAATATTTTTTAAAAAATTATTAATATAAACCATATCTATTATTACATTATTCAATAACTTTATGTAGAATGTCATTTAAATTAATATAAACGTTGAATTTTAACAATATATTGATTGTATGTCAAATTGTATTAAAAAAAATATAATTGAGTGATTCATATTATAATATATCTTGAAAAAATATATTTCGTTTACTTAAATAAGTAATCAAACAATTTTAAATAAATATAAATTTCTATATATATTATGTATGCAAAGAAAATTTAAATTTAATTAAAAAATTTATAATTAAAAACGATCAAATGGTTGAATAATTTATGCAATTTACATAGGCTTTATTTCACCACTTTTACAACATTACAAATTATTATTTTAGTGTTATCTGTATTTTCTCTTATGTTGAATCCTTTTTAACATTATTCCTTGTATTTTTAATTTACGTTCTATTGTTTAACTATTATCAATGTGTTCTCGTACTTTTTTACTTTAACATGACTCTCATCCTCTCACAACTTATTGTAGCTTTGGATACTATGATTATATTTGTGTATTTTTATAAGTGAATTTTTTTATATGTAGAAATTCCTTAGAAACATCAGCGTAAAATGTTTCCTAATGTTGGGAAATCATCTTTTGCAACCACACCAAAATTTAAAAATCCACAATGATTATGAGAGTGTAGGGTTGTTTATTTTAGAACGATGCATATTCAAAATCACAAATTGTGAATGGGATGATGAATTTAACAAAAAGAGAAAATAGGGTATTCTTTTTTGCTTGTTTCCTTGTGAGCTTCAAAAAATTTGCACATTTTTTTATCAACACTTTGCATTTCACTTGTTTTCGTAGATAAATAAGAAGAATGGAAAGCGAATCCTAACGATAAAATAAATACAATAAAGTAGAATATGAAATGAAGTAAACAAAAATAGAAGAAAAATTTCACTGAATGACTTACTTAACTTTGGTATCCCAATTTTTTATATCATAACAAAGTAAAATATTCATTTTATACACTACATTTACTACCGATAACATGTTTAACATTAAATAAGAATTTAGAAAAATTAACATCAAGATTTAAACAATATAAATCATCCAATAAAGTACCAAAACCACAATAGTATGGAAGTTTGTAGAAATGAAAAATATTGTTTTCAATCCTAAATATCTTTTCGAATCAAGATTTTATTTTCGGACAATCTTTCTTGAAGTGACACACTTTCTTGTAAAATAAACATTTATGGTCCTTTTGGATATTGTCCTTATACACTTTTATTGGGGCTTTGTCCTTCTTGTTCTTTTTTCGTGAATTGTTTTGCTGAAGCTAGCACCTTCATAAGTTGTGAAATGGATAGAATGATCTTTCATTTTCTTCAACCTCCCTTCCTTTTATACCAACATGGTTTTGATTTCTTGAAAGTTTCATTTATCCTTAAGAGTGTGATAATTCACCTAAAACTTGTCAAATTCAGGAAGAATAGAGTTCATGATAAAATGTACTAGAAAAGACTCATTCACTTCCATTCACATTGACTTCAACGTTGCCATTATATTAGCTATTTCAGTTACAAGATCATTGATGGGTTGTGACCCGTCAAACTTTTTAGTTTTCAGCTTACTCATAAAAGTTCCTATAATAGACTTTTTAGTTATGTTTGAGTGTGAGTACTCCTTAATCATTTTTATGAATTTCTTTCCATTTTCCGTTTTAGGCATAGAAGGCTTTATATTCTCTGCTATGGACATCCACATCAAGTTTAAGGTCAACTTATTAGACTTATGTCAAGCCTCATAAAGTGAATTTTCATCACTTGTACAGGTCTTTGTAATGGTTGCGGGTATTTCAACCATAATAATAGTCATATCCAAGTCTAACACACCCAATTGGAACTAAATTTGTTTTAACTAATATAATTTGGGCCATTAAATCTGACCACGTTGTTGCTCAAACATAATAAATTCATGAAAATTGGAAACAATATATAATCTCATACATTAATGTTTTGATAAAATCAATGGATTCAAACAAAATAACTACATTAGTCATGCATTTAAGTTCACCTTACTTAAACGGATAGATAATTATATAAGTTACTCATTTAAGTTCACCTTTAAGTAATGTTTAAACTTACAAAGTTCATACAATTTATAGTGATGCTTAAGTTTATATTTATGTTATCTTTGAATATATAAACTTATTTACTAAATATATCATAAATTTCACTTTAATATCATTAATTATAAGCAATACTTCACCTTTAAGTAATTCATAAAAACTTTATAAAAATAACTTTAAATTAACCCATAAACTAATTAATATATTCATTATTTAACGTCTTTATATTATTATGAGTAATTGCCATGATACAACTTCACTTTGGAATTATACCACATTATAATACACATTGTCCAGACACACTAAAAGAATTTCAAATTAATTATCTTCAAAGCACTCGTAACACTAATATAAAACATAAATATCATGCACTATGCTCTTCTTTTCGTGCTTCCTATTACTTACTAATAACTATTTTTTATATGAAAACGAAAGTATACGTGTTGTGTTTGTGAGTATTTATAGATTGAAGAAATTGTGTTTAGTAAAGGGTGTACTTTCTCGTTGTGGATCCAAAAATTCAATTTCATCCATGAATGTCATAACAAGGGGAATTGTCTAGCCAACCCAATTGTGCCAAGTTTAACTATGAAAACTTTAATTCAATGCACATAAGAAATCTAAGGCATACGATATTAAAATATTGCATATTACAATTCACATAGTGCAACGGAAATCAATTAAATTCCAAAAATGAAGAACCCTAAATACCATAAGTTCAAATTAGGGTTTATGTAATTTGGAAAAAACACTATTAGTGAAAAATCATAAAACTTAGAAACTTGATAACACTTGTAAGAAATTTCTATAATTTCAATTAAATGAAAACATACATAATCTTAAATTTTATGATTATCATAATGATGAAGGAAAAAAATTTATTTGGATTCATTAAAAGTTCTCTTAATCAATGTTTTCTATTATTTTAAATGA